CTCCCAGACCATTTTCTTTAAAAACTCATTTAATTACAAATTTTATACCCAATTGCTGAATCACATCTAATTTCCACTTAATATCAAAAAGCACTGATTTAATAAAAACCAGAAACCATTTTATCTTTTACATAAACAGTGGAAATCTTAGAATAACTGTAAAATTTCTTTTCCAGTCTTAAATTTTTATTCGTTCCTGCTTTGTGTTTCCACACATTTCCTAAGCTGAATGAGTTCACAGATCACTGAGCTTCTAAGTAACCAAACCAACTGAGCCAGAATAGAATGTTACAAAAATAATTGCATTTATTTTGCATTGACTGGGAAGGGATACACATTGGCCAAAATATTTTTATATTCACCAAGGTGTGATAGTGCTTTTGGCGCAAGGAACACTCCTTTTGGACACGGAAGGTACAAGTTGCAAATCCAATACCAAGGATTTTTTTTGCAGAGACGGTGGATTGGGTGAGGACAACTGAGGACTCAGGGCTATGGAAGGTGAGAGCCAGCAGCATATAGGAGATTAATAGATGCACATCAATAATGTCAGCAAATAGAGAATTTCCATATTCACCACTGGTCACAGTACAATCTGACTATGCTTACACAACAGTTCCTAGTGGCTGACTGAATGAGATCAAGAGGTACAGTATGCCACAAACCTTCTATTAGAATATAGCAGAAATTAACATATTACAGAGTTTGGGCAGTTATTTACAATATTAAAAAAATCATAAATTACCTGCAAGGTAACTGGATAGAGTAGACTGCATTGTCTGTTTCTTCTTTAAATAAGAATACGTGAAAGTCCAGACAGCATTAACATCCATTTACACAAGGTAAGGTATCTTCTCCTTAACTGCTACTCCCATTCTCCTTTGCTGTTAAAATTCTTTTTATTTTCTGCCCCAAAGCATTGGCTCAATAATTTGCTTCATTTTTATCCACACTTCCAGTCCAAAGTCTGCTTTTCCTGCTCGCCCATCAAATATGAGCACCCTCAGGCCAATTTTACATAGTTATTTCCTACTATTCTTTAATAATTTGCAAAAAGAAGTTCTGTTCTTTTTTCCTTTTGAATCTAGTCACCAAAGTGACATTTATTATCGTTTTTTTCACAGACAAGGTTAATTGCTGATGTGGCTCCGGTTATCAGTCTCAGACATTCTTTAAGATTATTTTTTATCAGTAAGATCCACTCACACACATAGATATAATTTTAGAATTATTGAAACCCTATATCAATTGTGACAAGTCCTCGAGCACCTAATATGTTTCAATGAGATCACTTCACATTCTTCTTATTCCAATTGGTAAACATCCAACCAGCTCAATCTTTTCACATTAGCAAAACCCTTCATTTCAGGAATCTATCACATGGACATTTTCTGAACTTCTTTGACAGCAATTAAATCCTTCCTTAAGTAAGGAGTTCCAATCTGTACACTGTACTCCAGGTGCCGGTTCACTAAAGCCTTGTACTGCTGTGGCACACCTACCTACTCATTCTTCGATCCCTATGCACTAAATGACAACATTTGTTGTTTTCTTAATTACAAGTTGTACTTGCAAAATTAATTTTTGTGATTCCTGTATCAAAGCACTCAACTCCCTCTGTATCTCAAAGTTCTGCTGTCTCTCTCCGTTTAAGTAATGTACTTTTCTATTCTTCCTGCCAAATTGGAAAAGGTTGTGTTTCTTCACATTATACTAATTTTACCAGATTTTGTGTCCTCATGTCTTTTTATCAATGTATTTTTCTATCGGTCTTCATGTTATCAGCAAATTTAGGTACCATCTATTCAGTTCCTTTGTCCAAGTTATTGATTTAAAATCGTTGAGGATCCAACACTGATTTTTGTGTGTCACTACACTAACTTATCAAACTGAAAATGATTCATATATCCTTGCTCCTTGCTTCCTATAAGCAAACCAATCCTCTATCAATGTTGATATGTTACCTCATACCTCATCAGTTCTTACTTTGTGTGGTATATTTTGTTGTGGCATCTTACCAAATGCCTTTTGGAAATTGAAGTACTCACATATAGAGGTTAGCCTTGCCTTGCTTGTTACCTTACTTGTTACTTCCTCGGAAGAATTCTAATGAGTTAGTCAAACTCAGTTTCCCTTTCTCAAAACCATGTTGACTCATATATTTCTATTACCTCTTTAATAATGCATTCTACTTTTGCCTATGATATATCATAGGTTAACTGCCTTTCATTTCCTGTTTTAATCTCTCTTCTTTCTTGAACAGTGATGCTACATTTGCCATTTTCAAACCTGCTGTTACCTTTCCAGAATCTAGAGAATTTTGGGAGATGAAAAATAATACATCTATTATCATTGAAGCAACTTCTTTAATATCTTAGGATGTGGGCTATCAGTTCGACGAATTGATCACCATTAATTCTATTAGTTTTCCCAGTACCTTTTACTTATTAATTGTTGTTGTTTCAAGTTCCTCCCTCCCTTTTACCTCTGGACTTCAAATATTCTTAGGATTTTACTTTCTTATTTTCTAAAGTGAACACTAAGACAAAAACCTGTTCACCACTTCTGATATTTCCTTGTTTCCCAATTTAATTCCTCAGTCTGACCCCGTAAAGAAGTGCATGTTAGTTACTCCTTTTATTTTTAAATACTTGTAGAAATCATTACTATCTATTTTTATATTTCTAGCAAGCCTTCTCTCATTCTCTAACACCTCCCTCAGTATATTTGTAATCATTTTTTGATGGTTTCTAAAATCTGTTCAATTTTCTGGCATACCACGAAACCTTACAGTATTTTTTTTCTTTCAATTCAATGTTATTCTTAACTTTTTTAGTTATCTACGGATAGTGAGTCCTTATCAAAGAGTCTTTCTTCCTTAATGGAATATACTTTTGTTCAAAGTTATGGATATCTCCTTAAATATGTGCCACAGCCCATCTTTCATTTGAGGATAATGAATGATGAAATGTGCAAGAGAGGATGACACGGCAGCACCAGACTACTAAAAATTAGGTGCCAACTAGATGGAACTACAACTCAGGGCTCCCTGCATGTCAAACAATGGAAAAAGCATGCAAGATCTGCAGTTTTCACACGTTCATTTCTGAATGGCGATGAACAATTAATCAATTAGTAAGAAGGTGAGGCTCCATGAATATCCTCATCCTCATAGACGGGGAAATCCAATGCATTAGTGTATTCCTCTTCAGCCATAAGTGCCAAGGGGAAGATACATCTCAACCTCTTCCTGAGGTCCTTGTCATCACAAATGCTAATCTTCAATTCATTCAATTAATTCCACGTGATGAAGAAATAGCTGAAGACACTGGATACTGCAAAGGCTGTGGGCCATGACAATATTCTGACAATAGGACTTAATACTTGTGCTCCTGAACTAACCGTGTCCTTAATCAAGCTCCTAGGTATTTTGGTACAGCAACAAAATTAGATTCTATCCATAGTGTGGAAAATTATATAGGTATGTTCTATACACAAAAACAGGACAAATCCAACACAGCTAATTACAACCCTATCAGTCTATTCAGGTTCATTAGCAAGCTATGGATGGGAATAACAGCAGTGCTATCATTTGCAAAAGAATAACCTGCTCACTGATGTTCACCAGGGCCATTCAGTTCCTGACCTCACAACAACTTGAGTTCAAACATGGACAAAAGAGCTGAACTCCAGAGGTAAGGTGAAAGTGACAACCTATACCGTCTGCGAGTGACAGTCCCTGACATCAAGCATTTGACCAAGAATTGGCATCAAGGAGGGCCTAGCAAAACAAAAATCAATGGAAATACAGGGGAAGCTCTCTACTAGCTGGAGTAATATCTACCGCAAAAGAAGCGGGTTATTATTGTTGGAGATCAATCATCTCAGCTCCAGAACATCACTGCTGGAGTTGCTGTAGGCCCAAGCATCTTTAACTCCTTCACCAATGGTCTTCCCTTCATCATAAGGTCAAAAGTGGTGACATTTGCTGATGTGCAATGTTCAGCAGCATTTGTGACTCCTCAGATATTGAGGTAGTCCACGTCCATATTCAGCAAGACCTGGAAAATGACCAGGTTTTGACTGACAGATAGCAAGTAATATTCATGCCACACATATACCAAGTAATGACCACCTTCAACTAGAGAGAACCTAACCATTGGCCCTTGATGTTCAACGGCATTGTCATTAATGAATCTTCATTTATCAACATTATGAAGGTTAACATTGATAAGAACCAACCATATAATTACAGTAGCTAAATGAATAAGTCAGGGTTTAGGAGTTATGCAGCCAGTAACTCACTGCCTGTCTCTCCAATGACTGTACACTATCTATAATGCTTAAGTCAGGAACATGACGGAATACTATCCACATGCCTGGATGGCTGCAGTTTCAACAACACTCAGCAGCCTGAAACTACCCACGATAAAGCAATGTACTTGATTGTCATTCCATCCACCACTTTCAACATCAACCCTCCCTCACTCCCACCACTGAGGCACTGTGGCAGCAATGAGTACTATCTGCAAGATGCACTGCAGTAACTCACTAAGGCTTCTTCAATAGCATTTTCCAAAACTGCAATCTCTATCCCATGGATGGACAATGACAGCAGGTACATGGGAATATCACCACCTGCAAATTTCTCTCCAAGCCACACACCATCCTGACTTGGAACTATCTCACTATTCCTTCACTGTCACTGGAACATCCTGGAATTCCTTTGCTAACACCACTGGGGGTGTACCTAAACCTCCAGCAGTAGTTCAGAAAGGCCGCTCACCACTACCTGCTCCAGGGCAGTTGAGGATGGACAGTAAAATCAAACTAATGTTTAAAAAAATTACTGCCTTCTTGTTTAAAAGACTGCAGAGGTGGATTAATCACAAATTATGTTTTGAAGACACATTTACAGTCCTTAAATATTCATAGAATACCAATAATAAGAAGCATGCAGGAAGTTAATCTCTCCTACCATTTCATTATTTCCTCTTTAGCTACTCATGGTATATTCCTATTTTCTGGATGAAGAATGGATCAATGCAGCCACTTATCTGGTTTGATGATGAACATAGTAAGTAATTTATGTTGTAGCATGTTTCATTACTGCATCTTAAGATAAAGTTACATATTCTGCTTCCTATTGTGCTTGTTGCAAATAATTAGCAATCAAAATATTGCCAATTTGGAAAGGGCAACAGATTTGCATTTAGTGAAACAAACTCGAGATAATTTTCTGATGTTATAATAGTTTTTCATGTAAACTGTTGAATATTCAAGCACACATTATAACCGATTTTCCCAATATGCGATGGGACAAGGGTTTTACGCATCTTCTGGAGTATGGCATCAGATGGTTAACATTTCATGTGAAGATTTGAGAAACATTTGTTCATTTCTATTAACTAAGCTAAGTTAATGGAACTCATTTCAAGAAATCTTTTGAATTTCCTAATGTTAAATCATGCCTGAATAACTTTGGAATACTCTAAACACAAGGAAGAAATAACAGTAACTTTATATTGTCTTGCGATAGAATGTCCAGTTAATCTAGACAATTTCCAAGCTTTTCAGCTTTTGATCCTACTCATGCACTTACCATGTGCTTGATGAAGCACATTCAAAACTGAAATTGAAATCTATATATGTTGTGACCAAGATTTTATTTATTCAGACATTGCATAATGTGCATGCTGCTGCATTTTGTGAATCATGTCTTTTGACTTTGCAAAACTATCAAATTCCACTCATTCAGGCAAGGAGCACAGGCTGAAAGTGATAGGAGGAGTCAATGGGATTGATCCTCACAAACATTAGGAGGCCACTTGTGCCCAGATCCATGGCTGTTTTGATAACAGGGGAATTTAATCAGGTGGGAGGTGGCAGTTGGTGACCCCAGCACTTTGCCACATTAACCTGTTTAAGACTATTTAGGAAAGGCCCATAAACAGCTGTCTTTCCATGTACCCGTTGCCAATTGAGGCTCTTGTTTACACAGTTAATGCCTGTTGTCCCCAAAGATTCCATCCACTACCTCAAAAATGTTGACTATACTAAGATCTGGGCAATTGGCAAATTTATAAGCGTACACCACTGATTCTTCTTTGTAGTAAGCAGAAGCTATTATCCTATTGATTTTCATTCATGGTGCTTATACACAGAAACATACCCTGAGATAAAACGCACCACAGAAGAAGAATGGATTCTGCTGAACATCAATATATCCAGCCTCTGTAGAATTGTCTATGATGATTCAAATTGGCAGAAGCTAATTCGACAACTAAACAAAGACCCAACAGTGAGTTACAATTTTCCTATATTTCTTAATAATTGTTATTCATCTGAGATACATTAAAGACAAGGCAATAATGCCAATCAGTTTATACTGTATTGTGGTGGAATATCCAGTTTACAATCACTAGTACTAATAACAGATGTTTGCATTTTCAAAACCACTTCTCACATGCAGGAAATAAATCACAGAACTGTATATAACTGTGGTTGATCAGCAGGAATGCGAATGCCGAAAGGGGGCCAAAAGTGAAAAGAGGAATGTTTTGAAGGCAGGGATGGAAGTGACATAATGTCTATTGACAACTGGCAACTGTTGGGATCAGGGGACTAGATAGACTACATTCATAATGGGGCAGTGGGATAGGACAAAAAGGCATAGGCCACTGCTAAAGGAACAGGGAGTACACATAGTGATGATTAGAAGAATTAAGGATCTATCATTTTTTAATCAGCTACTTTCTCCCTATGTCCTCTTCTTAAACATCTCAAAACAATTTCTATCACCTCTCCTTCTCTTCTCAGCCCGACTTCTCCAATCTTTCCAAACAACTGAAGTGCCTCCTTCTTGGGATCTCTTCTGCATTCTCCAATACATTCACATCCTTCCTATAGTGGTGCTCAGAACTGTACACAATACTGTACACAATTTGGAGCCGGCTCAGTGGTTAGCACTGCTACCTCACTGCACCAGGGACCCGGGTTCAATTCCACTCTCAGGTGACTGTGTGGAGTTTGCACATTCTCCCTGTGTCTGTGTGGGTTTTCTCTGGGTGCTCCATTTTCTCCTACAGTCCAAGAATGTGCAGGTTAAGTGTATTGGCCATGCTAAATTGCCCTGTTGTATCTAGGGATGTGCAGGCTGTAGCTGGATTAGCCACGATAAATACAGGGTTAGGGGAGAGGGTTAGATTTTGGTAGGATGCTCTTCAGAGGGTCGGTGCAGACTCAGTGGGCCCAATGGCCTTTTCTTCACTGTCGGGATTCTATGATTCCCCTCAAGCTGGGATCTAACCAGTTTGTTATATAGGTTCAGCGTAACCTCCCTGCTCTCATATTGTATGGCCCTGTTAATGAAGTCTCGAATACTCTATGTTTTATTAACAGCTCTCTCTCCCTGTCCTGCTACTTTAAAGACATATACCAGGTCCCTCTGCTCCTGCACACCCTTTAGAATATACTGTCTATTTTGTACTCACCCCAAATTCTTTGTATCAAAGTATAACACCTCACACTTCTCAGCCTTGAATTTCAATTGTCTGTTAACCTCCACTACACCAATGTGTCAATGTCCTTTTAATAGTCTACATTATCATCCTCACAATTCACATTTCTTCCTAGTTTTGTGTCATTCACAACTTTTGAAATTGTCTCTTGCACACTAAGATCTAGATCATTTAAGTACATTATTACATTATTATTAATAAACTCACTCTTTTTGTTAATTCAAGAAGACCTAGTCAAATTTTCTCCTTTTAAAATGTAAGTTTACTTGGTTTTGGAACAAAGGTATCATTGAGGGAAGGGGCATTTTTAAAGTAACTTTTTCACAACCGAATGAGGAAGTGGGTGGATGAAGAAAGAAGGAGAGCTGGTGGTGAGCTAATTCATCCTTCTTCACCTAAGAGCTTAACGGTTGAGGATATTCCTTCTGGAACTGCAATGAGTTGGGGAACATCAACTGGGATTTCATCATAACACTATCCCTAAGCATTTCTCCGACTCTCTATCATTTTGCAGGCCTAGTGCCACTCAAACTGCTGCTAGACCCCCTGGTACTGCTGCATTATGTACTTGGGCTGTGTGACACCACAACAGTGTTGTTTTCATGTCTTCGGACACACGCAGGGGCCACAGCTTCCTGGGCACTGAGCACGCTGCAAATGTAGCAATGCAGCGCACTGGGCTGTCTCTGGTAAATTACTTTATGTCTGCCCTACTAAATCTTGTGTTTGAAAAACACTGTCAGAAATGCTGGTGTGATAGCAAGTACGACATTATTTAAGAAGGAATCAGGTGAAAATTTTAAAGGAAGATTCATACAGCACGAAAACAGACCCTTTGGTCAAACCAGGCCATGGTGAACATAATCCCGAACTAAACTAGCCCCACCTGCCTGCTCCTGGACCATATCCCCCAAACCTTTCCTATTCATGTATCTATCCAAATGCCTTTTAAACATTGTAATGTGCCCGCATCCATCACTTCCTCAGGAAGTTCATTCCACATGCGAACCTCCCTCTGTGTAAAAAATTTTGCCTCTTATGTCTTTTTTAAATCTCTCTCCTCCCACCTTATAAAAGGCTATTAAAATGAAATGAATAAAACATAAATAAAGTGATTAGAATAAATGTCTGCATTTGAAGAGTTGGCCATGGCACATGGATGGTTTCCTGTGGCCTGCAAATTTGATATCTCTAGCATTTTGTCAGTATTTTCATATTCAAACTTGAACTGTAAGTTTTTTGAAGCAATTGCCCTGGCTAATTCAATGCTGTATCTAATCTAAAATGCATAACTCTTTCCTCACACAATGAGCCAAACAGTGAAAAACAAAATAATCCTTTCCTTGAATTAATCATCATAAACTATGTTTAATAGACACATGGGATATAGCACATAGTTGTGCTGTGTAGGTCATGTCTGACTAAATAATTTGTTTTTATTGAGGAAGTAATTAAGATGGGAAATTGTCGGTGGATGTTATACATATGAACTTTTAGAGGACAATTGATAATGTTCTGCACAGGACGATCAAGATCATCACTTGCCAAGAACCAATTTGACTGGTTTGGATTAAATCTTGTGTGAATGTACAGAGTGACAATAGTAACTAAAGGGTTGAATCATCAGTTTTTTTTTATTCTTTACTTACCATGCATTGTTTTTCCCACCTGGAGCAGAGAATACGTATGCCCTAACTCATGTCATCTCTGTGCAATAAAATATAAGTTCTTAATTTAATAATTTGTCAAACTATGGATAAATTAGGTCATTGGTGAGAAAGAACAGAAAATTTTAGTTAAATCAGCTCAAAAGTATTTGCAAGCCATCTGGTACCATAAAGAAATTCGGAGGAGCCAAATTAGCTACACCCTTACAGCTTGTGAATCAAAGCTATAAAAGGCAAATACAAATGCAAAGGAAAATATACATAACAGCATAATGAAACGAATGTATGCCACCTTTTCACAAGTGTAACACGGCCTCTGTTTCACACTTACATAAAATATGTGTATAATACATCCCACTGATTTGAAACTAAGCCAAACTAGATTTTTGTTATTTTTTCATGGGATATTGGCATACCTACAAATACGAGTGAAATAACTCCACAGAGGCAGGTATCTCATCACCAAGTCAGCCTTTATTTACATATGCACGGTACATGGACTCTGGCCAGTTAGCTCAAAGCCAGTACCTAGAGTGAGGAGAATCCCTGAAAATCCTGTTTATATCTGTCAGGCAGGACTCCCTGATTGGTGTTGTTAACCTGTGCCAATCAGGGAACTCATAATCAATGAGATACACCTGACCAACCTCATTTCAATCACTATATTCCTCCCTGCCTAAGTCCTGGGGTGTAGGCCTATTCTTTTTCCTGTAGCTTCTCCTTGGATATTTTTGCACCAGGTCCAGTTCCTCCGACTCTGACTTGGACAAGGGTGGCATACTGGACCGTACCCCATCTCTTGTGCCTGGAGTGTCTTGGAAAAAATTCCTTCTCTTCTTCAGGCAGTAATGGTAGTGAGGCTGTGATATCAGTTGCATCCATCTTGGGCTGTGAGGTTTCTTTGATACGAGACAGAGGGCGAGAACCCATGGTTTCTGACAGCCTTTCTCACTGTTCTGAGGAGCTGACTATGTTTTGCTCCTGCCCCATTTGTGAGATAACAGCTTTCAGGTGATCCACTTGTTTATTCAGGACCGCCTCATCTACCTAAACTTTGTATGTCACAAGACCTGACCTCGTGTTGACCTTGCGTTGTAACCATGCAGAGCCATTTCTGAGGTTTCAGCACCAAAGTCTGTGCCTTGAAGTAAACTGTCTCTCTCACGCATTTCACGCGACGGCCCGGGCCTAGACCCTTCTTCAGAAATGGGCTTCGCAGTGGGGTTAAAATTGTTTCAGAGATAGTGGGAACTGCAGATGCTGGAGAATCAGAGATAACAAGGTGTAGAGCTGGATGAACATAGCAGGCCAAGCAGCATCAGAGGGGCAGGAAATCCGATAACCCA